TCCCTTTAAAGGTCAAAAAGGTCACACTGCCTATCTGAACTGCTGATGTCAAAGGCGCCTTTGCAGTCACTGTGATTGGCTGAGCGTGGGCTGCTTGTGGTTCCTCTGACTAAACGCAAAAATAGAAAAGCTGTATCGACCATCGATCCCTGGATGGCCTTTCTGTGTAAAACAGGCTGACTCACTCGTGATGAAGGGTGTTTCTCAATGCCAAGGAACTTTGCCTTGATGTCTTGGCCCCACTCCGGTTGCCTAGGAGATACGTCATCGGGAGCCGCCAAGACGTGTTCCAGTGTTCATGTTCTGCCGAGGCGTGTGTTTTCCATTTGTTAGCCATTTAGCTAACTGAGCAAGGATACACGGGAGGTGTCTTGTTACCTAGCTTTGGTCAAAAATTACCCACAACACACCGTGGTATTTTCAAAAGGACAGCGGATCAGAATCCGGCAGCTACTTCGGGGACAATTTTCAAGTTTAAAAGTAAGTCAACTAATAAAAAATTATTTTTTAGATCCAAAGAAGTTCTCTATTGTTGGTTAGTTGCTTAGTAGTTGCAGCTTCGGTTTTAATTTAATTAATATACACAATCTAAAAAGTAAAAGGCTTGTAATATATTTATCTTGAAACTAATACGTATAAAATATAACGTTGTCTACCGTGTCACGTGACGTTACAAGTCTGTTCCATTTAACCGTTTTCTTTGACCAAGAACGGACAGTGTTCTCGTGAGCAAGGAGCCTGGCCTCGCAAGACATCGCCTCGCAAGGCCAGGCTCCTTGACACTGAGAAACACCCGAAGTCTCACCTATTCTCTTTTGTCTGAAATTGCTTGATTTTATTGTGATTTGTATTTTTTTTTGTTGCCACTGTATTACTTCTCATCCTCTTAATGTTAATTTTTATTGTACAGCACTTTGTCATAGCTTTTTATTAGTGCTTTAAAATTCAATTGGATTTGAATTTTAACTATTCATGAAATTTAATTTATGGAAAAGAATAAGACAAGTTGACATTCCATATTTAGGAAAACCCAGTATGGTAGGAAACCGATAAGACAAGATTTTAGGAATAAATCCATAAAGATATTTGAGGATTTCAAGACGCGTTTTTTCCTTTTTAAGGTCTTTTGACACAAAGTAAAATTTATTTATATATTTTCATTTGAATTAAATTTCATTCTTTATTTTTTTGTTATCAGAAACGATGAAGAATTTAGCGAGAGTTTTGTTATTTATTTCACTTTGCACCCTCACAGTACCAAAAATGAACCAAACTGTGACATTAAACCAAGATACATACCGAACAGGGACTTCAGGCTTACTGCTAAACTGCTAGTTCCCCCAAAGAAATCTATAATATTTAGTTATAAATATTCACTCTTTATTACAGTTGAGTTTTTCCTGGTCCTGTACCTCTAACAGGACTGTGTAGACTGTACTGAATGATGATAATTTCACCCGTGTGCCATTCACATCAGGCCTTTATAATATTTATCTGCTCGGTGTCGTGGCAGCTCTCCTAACCGCTGCTCTGGGAGCAGATCTCCACATCTGCACTACATCCGTGCATTTAATCCGCTGAGTGGATCGGAAGGAGCACACAGCCAGGTAGGCAGGAATAGCTTTGAAAAGCTCTGGAGTGGCTCCACTTCCTGTTCATGCTTTCAGATCTCCATCAGCTCACCAAGAGTTGCACGCCACCCCTTCAACAGCAGGCGGCAAGATATCCTATTATACGCCGCCACTTGTGATAATTGCTTGTAGCCTGCAGATGCGGTGTGATGAAATGAGTCTGTATGCTTGTGTGTGTTGGCCCCATATTTGTCTCATGATTAATCTGGAACATCACGGGGACAGTAGCAGCTCTCTTTGCTCCCGATGCATCAACTTCTGTGCAGATTCAACTAATCTGACGAATGAGGCACATTTAACTCGGATTTGCCGACATTTTTTAACCAAAACTTGTTCGACTTAATATTTTAAATTGATTTCTGGACAGTTGATAAAGATGGCTCCCCCTTGCCCTGCCTCCAACATGCCACCATCTAAAAAAGGCTAGGTTATCCAGAGTTATCTCTGTAGTTATGCTGCTATAGGCTTAGGGGCTCGACACACGGGAGGCGACAAACGACCGCGATCAGCGAAATTTGTCGCTGTCGCTTTTATTACCTGACACACGGGAGGCAACCCGCGGCAGCGGCAAAGCCGTCTACGCGCTCTGTTCCAGGACGACATTGAAACTTCCATTGTTTTGCTTGGCTGTGTCAGGTTGGAGGGAATTAAGGTTATTTAAGTGGTTCAGAGTTAATAAAGCGGTAGATGTGATGCTTCACAAGGTGCTGCTAGAGTGATGTGAAATCTTACTTCTGATTTTACTATATAAAACATAATAATAATCAACTTCTCCATGTTTGCTCGGAGGTGTACGGAGCATCCTGTCCGCTCATTGGTCAGTGAATGAAACCTCCGTTGATTGGTCCTCGTCCGAGCGACAGTGATGAAAAGTTGAAAATATTTCAACTTTCTGGGATCGCGTCGCTGGGTCGTCCGTGCACGACACGTGCACAAGTGCACGACATGTGCACGAGCGCAAAATTTCACACGCACGTTTTTCGCGTTTCGCTTGGTAGGAGGGAGACCCGCGATTATCACTTTGTCGCGCATGTCTCATTGAAAATGAATGGAGGAGAGGCGATGTCGCCTCCCGTGTGTCGAGCCCATTAGACTGCTGGAGGGCACACTGGCCCCTTTCCACACTCGACTACTTTCTTCTACAATCTGCTCTTTAACTGTATTATTTCCTGCTATTTCAACTGCTAACTTTATTTTTTCTCTAAGTGTTTTTCTCCCCAGAAGAAGCAGCAGTGTTCTGCTGAGCTGTGGTGGCCTCATGGAGGGCGCCATCGGCTTGAACACATTTAAACTTTCTCCCTCTCCTGATAACATTTTACTTTCTTTGACATTGAATGTGCTACTACTAGTTCACCCGTTTAATTATAGATTCACTAGGATAAATACAATAAAGTTTATCTCTCGCCGAATAGAATATTTACTAAGAAATCACAATGTAACCTGTGTGTGTGTGTGTGTGTGTGTGTGTGTGTGTGTGTGTGTGTGTCTGCTCTGTCTTCTCGATCCCCAGTGAGTCGTGGAGGATGGCTGCTTATACTGAGCCAGGATTCTCTGGAGGTTTTTTCCTGTTAAAAGGGAGTTTTCCTCTCCACTGTCGCTGCATGCTTGCTTAGTATGAGGATTGCTGTATAGTCACTGACACTAGTCGGTGACTCGATGCAATTTGCTGGGTTCCTTATATAGGAAACATTTTTCTGATTGCCTTAATGAACTGACCTGAATTGGAATGTTTATTATGTGAAGAGCCTTGAGACGACTCTTGTCGTGATTTGGCGCTACTGTATATAAATAAACTTGAATTGAACTGAGCATCTTAAAACATCCTTCATGAAGGGTCATTCCCACTCTCAGGTCTCATGAGGCTGGCGCTGTCGAACAAGAACGGGAATGTTTAACTTTCCTAAGTGACTTTAGGCAAAAACCGCTTCATCGTGTTTGAATTAAATCACTTTTTCAAAGCTATGAAAGTTTTAATTCCAGCCAGCTTGAATGTTAGCTGCTTTTATGTGTCTTGCATCCCCCTTGAGTGTGTTTTGAATGAAACCTCCTGGTTTTGCATGTTCCAAATCATCTGAAGACAAATGGGCACCAAACTTTTTCTCTGTGTGAAAGCAGAAAGCTTGTTTAAAGGTCTCTGATGGCTTGGTTTCATCATGCTACCCTGCCAGCATCAGGCCAGTTTTTCTCTGCAGAACTATCTGTTTTTATCTGTCCTCATCTTTCTAACGCGTGTTTCCATTTGGATTAGGAAGTATCAAGAAATGCATGAGCTATAAACAACGCCTGCTATAGAATTTTATTATCAAAGATAAAAATTTAGTGGAATGGTGCAACCAGCAGATTTTACCAGTCTGCTACGGAAACAAGCGGGGATGTCCAAAGTAAAATGTGCTCGAGGCGTTTGTCTTGTGTGAATATTTCTGCATAACTCCCAGATTTTCCTCCACAGATGAGCCATTTGAGGTCATTTCTATTTTTATATCTGTTCTTTTCAAAGGGCGCAAGCATATACACTCTTTTATTAATGTGGCGCTTATCTGATTTCCTTATTCAGTCCCTGAGAGCAGAGAAATATCTCTGAGAAGCCTTAGATAACCACAAAAGTGCAAATGTAAAGGAGCTCTTTGCGGAATGAGAGGACGGGAAGAGCAACAAGAGGAGTTCTGTCTATTTTACATTTAAGTGACTATTGTCTGCAGTGACCCTGTCAGTCAAAGAAAAGGACACAAGCGGATTATCAGCACCAGCTGAGCCACCTCCACGTCTCTTTTGATCATGAAGGGATTTAGCAGAAATCTTCTTGCTTCTTGAGAAAACAATAAATGAAATTCAGCGTTGAGGCGAACCCTAACAGAACTGTCATTATGCAAAACAAATGGAATAAAATGAGAATGATCTGGTTTGCATCATTAACAGTCATGCAAAAACATTTGCTGCTCATATTTAACTTAAAATCATGTTTTAGTTATGCATGCATAACTGCTGAATGAGACCACCTCATGCTGGTGTGTGTGTGTTGGCCAAGCCAGCTCTTCTCTGTGGGTCGAGGAATGTTCTGATGCCATAATCCTGCCGTCACGGACAATTTAACCCACCTTTAACTCGTCTGCAGATTGAATTCAGTTTTAGATGAATCTTCCATGCACACTCCACAGCCGTCATCTAGAGCTCCGCTGCTCAGATCAATGTGCATAAGAATAAGATGAATGTAGGAGCAGACGGGGATCTGCTGCTGCGCTGTACATGAGGGCCTCCGCATGCGTCAGTGCATTTCTTCAGAACTCCAGCTTGTTTATCTGCTTTGAGCTGCTCTAATATTAACGCTCTCCCTCTCTTTTCCTCCCATCACAACCCCCCATTACCCGGAAGGTGCTGCCAGGCATACTGCAGAAGCACTGCTGTATCTTACCAGACAGAAACACAGGTAAGGGCTTTGCCAATCCCCATCCACACTGAGACAGATGCACCGTCAGACTGTACCTGTAATTAGTGGGTGTGGGACAATGCATACCCAGAGGAGGGGTGCACCATTAGTCTGTTGTATTCATCTGTGATCTCGTTCTTTCCTTCTTGCTGATTTTGTGCCCTGATCAGTTTGTGTTTCTTGATGCTTTCGTGACACTTTGTTTTCAGCATCCACACAAAACTTTAGACTGGTTCAAAGTGACGTTCCTCCATCTACATGGCAAGCGGAGGCATAAAAGTGGGATTAGGTGTCAATTTGTGATGATGACGAGCTTCTTCACACTGTTGCAGGTATGAAGAGGCTGCTGATGAAATTGAAGAGCAGGGAGATATATTCAGGTACCTGTCTGCAGTCTTCCTGATAATCACTCATTTTCTTTTCATGCCTCAAACTTTCTAACCTCTGGACTGCACTGAGACTGCATGCACCATCCATCCCATAGACAAAACCTCAAAGCGCTGCTCTGATGACTTATTTTTGCCTCATATCCATTTATAGGATCCGTTTTATGGTGATCCTATTCCTCTGTGATGCATTTTGTGCTGTTTTTAATTACTGTCTACACACACTGTCTAGGTGTGACACACACACACACATACACACACTGAGGGGGTGGCACGAGAATGCAGCAACCTTGGGGGAATTGAGGTACTCTGCCAGTTGTTATGACTCTGGAACTCAGTTATGTGAAATAACTTTAGGGCGTTTTACAGCATGAAATAAAAGTTTGATGGGACATTGTGGCGAGATTATCTGCACTTATCTGCAGAGAAGAACCTTTTTTAGTGCATAAAAGTTTTAAAACGAGGCACACTTTATCTCCTTAGTCAAAGATGCCAGATGGATGCAGTTTGCTGTTATGGACAAATCTGTTTCTAATGAGTGGCAACAAGTTCAGAAAATATTTCACAAGAGTAGATTTTTCATGAGGAGTTTGCAGTAAGAGCGTGGCACTCTTCCTGATGCATGGTTAGATTTATTGACTGTGTGGCCCCATGTACCATTGGGCAACAAAGAGAGCCATGTTGCAAAGTCTGGCACAGTCTGTTACCTTGAAATGCAGCTGATTAAAGTCGGGCGTAAGGACCCGTTCTACTGTGCTGTGGTCTATCGTCCACCTGGTCCAAACAGTTCTTTCCTTCAGGAGTTTAGTGACTTTCTATCCTCCACTGGTGACTTTAACATCCACGTTGATGATCCCTCCGATCTCTTTGCCATGAATTTCTCCAGCCTTATGGACTCCTTCTGCTTTACCCAGCATGTTTCTGGCCCCACACAACAGGGGGCACACTCTAGACCTTGTTTTTACCCTGAGTCTAAATGCTGACAGTGTTTGTCCTGAGGACGTTTATATTTCAGATCACCATTGCATTTTCTTTAACTTGTCAGTTTCTGCGTCCCCACCTCCTGCTCGCCGTATGGTTAGTTCTTGTTTTCTTAATGAGAGCATAGCTAGCAGTTTTTCTGCTGCTTTTGATCCACCCTGTTCTTCTGATAACGACCCAGATTCCTTAACTTCTCAGTTTAACGAGCACTGCCTCTCCATTCTGGACAACAGCTGTCCTGTCAGAACCAGATCAGTTCCTGCAGTGAACCCTACTCCCTGGTTTACTGACAGCCTTCGCAGCCTGAAGCGCCAATGCAGAAAAATTGAGCATTTGTGGAAGAAAACCCATCTCCACGTCCATCTGCTGCACCTAAAGGATCTTCTGACATCCTTTAACTCTGCAGACAGAGTCGCTAGGGTTTCCTATTTCTCCAAACTGGTGTCCCAGAGCAAAGGGAACCCCAAGGTGCTGTTAAACACCATCAGCAGCATCGCCTCTCCTGCCACTCCTACAGCCTCCGTCCACCTGTTACAGACTGTGAGAACTTTCTGTCTTTCTTTGTGGACAAAGTCAATAAGGTTAGATCTAGCATCTCTCATTCAGCCTTATCGCTGCCTCTCCCGACTCCAACCAGGCCCATCATCCTAGATAGCTTTGCTCCTGTTTCTTTGCCTGAGTTAACCAAACTAGTTAACTCTATGAAGACCTCTGCATGCCCCCTCGACATCTTACCTTCATCTTTGTTTAAAAGTGCTTTTCAGTCCATCGGTCCCAGCGTGCTCTCTATAATTAATGCTTGTCTGGTTTCTGGTCAGGTCCCTGCTTACTTTGAGAATGCTGTAATCCACCCGCTTCTTAAAAAAGCGAGTCTCGACCCCTTTCTCCATAGCAGCTTCAGACCCATCTCTAAACTTCTGTTCATCTCCAAGATCTTGGAAAAGGTTGTGGCTAAACAACTCACAGCTGCTCTTGATGAACATATCATCTATGATTGCTTCCAGTCAGGTTTTCGTAGAGCTCATTCTACTGAAACAGCTCTTCTTAGGGTCTCTAATGACCTTCTGACTCACAGTGATGCAGGGGACTGTTCTGTTCTGGTCCTGCTGGACCTGACTGCAGCCTTTGACACTGTTGACCATCACCTGCTACTGGAGAGGCTGAGAGACTGGGTAGGCCTATCAGGATCTGCTCTGGAGTGGTTCTCCTCTTATCTCTCTGAGCGCTCCTTTTCTATAGCCGTCTCCAAGTTTAGGTCCTCTACCACCTCTCTTACCCATGGTGTCCCACAACGTTCTGTGCTGGGGCCTCTGCTCTTCCTCCTCTATCTGCTTCCTCTTCAGCACATCCTGAGCTCCTTCAAAGGAATCTCCTACCATCTTTATGCAGATGACATCCAACTGTGCATCTCCTTTAAGCCCCATGAGATGTCTAAGCTGCAGCTGTTACACACCTGCTTAGACTCTATCAAAACCTGGATGGCTGGGAGCTTTCTTCAGCTGAATGAAGATAAGACTGAGATCCTCATCTGTGCCCCAGACAAGCTGGTTCCCAAAGTCAGAGACTCTCTTGGTCAGATTGCTTCTCACACCAAACCTTCTGTCAGGAATCTTGGCGTGACCTTTGACCCAGCTCTCACCCTGGATTCTCATGTCAGTTATCTTGTTCGCTCTTCCTTCTTCCATCTCAGGAACATTGCTAAGCTGAGTCCCATTCTGTCTCGCTCTGAACTTGAGACAGTTCTCCACACCTTCATCTCCTCACGCTTAGACTACTGTAACTCTCTTTTCGCGTGTCTGAGCAGAACCTCCCTGAACCGTCTACAGGTGGTTCAGAATGCCTGTGCTTGGCTTCTGACCAAGTCCTCCAAACACACCCACATCACCCCGCTTCTCCTCCAGCTTCACTGGCTGCCAGTCAACTTCAGGGTTCATTTCAAGATCCTGGTTCTGGTCTATAGGGCCTTACATGGACAAGCACCATCTTACATTGGTGATCTTCTTAGTCCCTACACCCCCAGCAGGTCCCTGAGGTCCAGTGATCAAAGCCTACTGGTTGTGCAGCACCAGGCTAAAGGTCAAAGGTGACAGATCATTTGCTGCTGTGGCCCCCAGACTCTGGAACTCTCTCCCCCTGAGCCTGAGATCAGTGGACTCAGTGGTCTCCTTCAAAAAGCAGCTGAAGACTCACTTGTTCAAGCTGGCTTTTGTATGACCTTCTTCACCACTCTCTCTTTATTCTGCTCTCCCCACCTATTCCACCTTCCCCACTGATTTCCCTCTTTCCTATTCACTCTCTGTCTTAACATTTTTTCTTTTAAATCCCAATTGCCTATTTTGCTCATTTGAAATATATTTTTAAATATTTTCTAAATGCTTTTTATATTTTTACATTTTTGTTTTGTTTTTGTGAAGCGCCTCGTGATTTTTATCTTGAGAGGCGCTATAGAAATGATATTTTCTTCTTCTTCTACCCTGGATTTCCACCGAATGCATAAGTGGTGCATAACAAACGACCTCAGTGACCTTCTGAACGTGAGCATATCAGACGTGCATTGGTCCTGCAAGGTCACAAAATCACAGAAGAATTGCAAGCATGTGATGCGACAACCCCATAATCTGTAAAGTTAACAAAGTTGTAACCATGCGTTGAAAAGGACCAAGATCAGCTTTAAGGGCCATCATTATCTTATGTTTATGTATTTAGCAGACGCTTTTGTCCAAAGCGACTTACAAGTGATAATCGGCATGTTGCCCTTGAGGCTAACAACAACAATAACATCAATAACTTGACATCAATCATGGAGAGGAGGGAACAAGGAGTGGGCAGTAGAGAGGGGGGACGGGTGCAGGGAGGGTGCTACTTAAGAAGATGCTCTCTGAAGAGCAGGGTCTTCAGGAGTTTCTTGAAAATTGAAAAGGAAGCCCCTGTTCTGGTAGTGTTAGGAAGGTCATTCCACATTTTTGGAATGATACATGAGAAGAGTCTGGACTGTCCTGAGCGTGGTGTAGGCACTGCTAGCCGACGATCCTGTGATGACCGGAGCGGCTGGGCCGAGACGTAAACCTTTGCAAGAGGATTCAGGTAGATGAGAGCCGTACCATCTCGGACTTTGTATGCTAGTGTTAGCAATTTGAATTTGATGCGTGCTGCTAGCGGTCCCCCTATAGTTGGAACACACCCTCAGGTCACCCTTCTTAAAGATGGGGACCACCACCCCGGTCTGCCACTCCCTAGGAACTGCCCCCGATGACCACGCAATGTTGTAGAGACGTGTCAACCATGACAGTCCTACAACATCCATAGCCTTGAGATACCCAGGACGAACCTCATCCGCCCCCGGGGCTCCGCCGCTGTGTAGTTGTTTGACTACCTCAGCAACTTCTGCCCCCGAGATTGGACAGTCTATCCCCAGGCCTCCCAGCTCTGGTTCCTCCTCGGAATGCGCATTGGTGGGATTGAGGAGCTCCTCAAAGTATTCCTTCCACCGTCCGACTATAGCCTCAGTTGACGTCAGCAGCTCCCCATCCCCACTGTAAACAGTGTGAGCGAGTTGCTGCCTTCCTCTCCTGAGGCGCCGGACAGTTTGCCAGAACCTCTTTGGAGCCGATCGATAGTCTTTCTCCATGGCCTCACCAAACTCCTCCCACGCCCGAGATTTTGCCTCGGCAACTGCCACTGCTGCACCCCGCTTGGCTATCCGGTACCTGTCTGCTGCCTCCGGAGACCCACAGACCAGCCACGCCCTGTAGGCCTCCTTCTTCAGCCTGACGGCTCCCCGAACCTCTGGTGTCCACCAGCGGGTACGGGGGTTGCCACCACGACTGGCACCGGCCACCTTACGGCCACAGCTAGCAACAGCCGCCTCGACAATCGCAGAGTGGAACAAGGCCCACTCGGACTCAATGTCCCCCACTGCTCTCGGGACGTGGTCAAAGCTCTGCCGGAGGTGGGAGTTGAAGACCGTCTTGACAGGTTCTTCTGCCAGGCGTTCCCAGCAGACCCTCACTATG